AAAAACACTGATCTAAATTTGGAAGAATAAAAGACCCAAGATAGCCAATGCAATATTGAGCATGAACACTGATGTAGGAGTAGAGAGAAAGAGGAAACACTGAAGAACAATACTGTCCAAATTGTATTGCTATATCGTGTGCTCGTATAGAGATGTAAACAATGAATCCCATTATATATAATTATAATGCACAACAAAAAAACATGGGGAAAAAAACTGAAGGAGAGAACGAAGGATTAGAGGAACTCAGAATTTTACCTAGGGTTCCAAGAGACTGAATCAAAACACAAAGTGTGCTGTCACATGTTAATGTAGTGGGGCCACAGAAAAGCACTGAAGTACAATTCTAGGGAGACAGTAACCAGGTAAAACCCAGAAATACTGGTTTTCAGAATAATAAGAAAAATAATAAGAGAAATGGATCGCATAAACACTGAGTGCTATATAGCTCAGTAGGGAGAAGAAGCACCCCCTTTGACAGGCTGAAACAGACTCTTAGCAAACTTTAGGGGGCAGAGTTTTCCAATAAGCAAATTATACAGTCTGAGCAGATCACAATCATGAACTAGTGTGGGAAAAGAGGTTCCCTGCACTTCCCAGCAGATTTGGATAGTGCTGTAATAGGGAGCCACCTTAAGAAGAGTTCCATGGTCGAGCTTACTGCATGGGAGATCCCAAATCACTGCATTTCTTAAATCTCCCAAGACTCAACAGCCTCTTCTCTTCACTGGCTTTGTGGGTGTCCATTCCAAGAAAGTCAAAGAGACATAAATCCACTGAAAACTCCTAGCAATGGGATATGTGGTCTGAGAAGCAGAAGATACTTCTATTTAAAATTGGCAGATTGAGGGCTGGGGATGTGGCTCAAGTGGTAGCGCGCTCGCCTGGCATGCCTGTGGCGCTGGGTTCGATCCTCAGCACCACATACAAATAAAGATGTTGTGTCCGCCGAAACTAAAAAATAAATATTAAAAAATTAAAAAAAAAGAGATGTAGAAACTGAGTTCAAAGGAGACAACAGAATATAAAGATCAAAAGTGAAAGCTTTTGCATGAAAAAATGCTCAGCATCATTAATCATTAGAGAAATTCAAATCAAAACCTTAGTGAGACGCCACCTCACCCTCATTAGTATGATTATTATTAAAACAATAACAACAGTAAAAATAAATAAATAACAAGTGTTGGCAAGGATATGGAGAAATTGAGACCCTTTTGCACTGTATGTAGGAATGTAAAATTGTGTATCTGCTGTGGAAAACAACATGGAGGTTCCTAAAAATGTTTATATGGAACTATCACATGGTTCAGCAATGTTGCTTCTGGGTGTATATATCTGAAAGAATTGCTAACAGGATCTTGCAGAGATATTTGGGGACCTACATTCCTTGCAGCATTATCCACAAGCAATGGAAATGACCTAGATGCCTGCCAATGGATGAAGACATAAATAAAATGCAGTATACACTTTAAACAGGAGGACACCCCACGTGGGTGAACCTTGAGGACAGTGCCCTAAGTGAAATACACCAGTCACACAATGACAACTACTATGTGATTCCACTGATGGAGTTATCAAAAGTCTTCCAACTCTTGGAATGGTGGTTGCCAGGGGCTGGAGGAGGGGCAGAGGGGGCTGGTTTGTGGGTCTAGAGTTTCCATTTTGCGAGAAGAGCAAGTGCTAGTGGTCCATCGTGTGGCGTTGTGCTTATAGCTCACATTACAGCACTGTGCACTTAGAAATGATAAGCTAATAAATTTCATGTGATGTGTTTTTACAACAATAAAAACAAAATGAGTATGTGCAAGATTGTACTGTCACCATTATGTCATTTAATGACTGCCTTTCCTCTATCTTTCTCAGTCACCCTTTTTATTTGCCCAGACAAATGTGCATTTTAAAAGAAAGCATAGCACGGGGACATTTCATATCATTTTAGTGCTCTCGGTTCCCCACCCTTCTTTCCCCACATCTTGTGTTTCTCTCCCTTCCTGGGAGTAACCCGAGACATCTGCTTCTGAATGTAAATGTCCCAGGAGGGACTTCCCCATCTGAGTTGATTGGATTTTCCATCTGCCTCCTGGATATCCTCCTTTGCATCTGGGGTCTGCCTCTGAACTCCCTGGCAGGGAGACTGCCTAAAGAAGCCCCTGCCTCTCCATTTTCCCCTTACAGGGAAACTTCAGACACGCCAGCAGCAGAGCCCCAGTGTCCAGGGAAGAGCTGATGACGGTCCTGTCTAGACTCCAGGGGCTGCACATCCGGGGCCTCCACTTCACCGAGACACAGAGGCTCACACTGGGTGAGGTGGGGCTGGAGGAGGCCTCCGACACAGGAAGTGGACGCAGAGCACACGAAGTGGAGATGTGTACCTGTCCCCCTGACTATATGGGTGACTCATGTCAGGTAGGAAAATTTCCCACCCACAGCATTCCCCTGGGGCAGCAACTGTGGCTGGCTAATTTTGGGCTCCTGTCCTACCCCACGGGATGGTTTGAGACACTTTGTCCAATGTCCAGGCTTCTGCTGGGCTCTAGAGCTTATGTCTTACCTAGACTACCTCCAGGAAATAAATATGAAAAAGATAGGCATGGGACACCACAGGCGTCCAGAGGATGAAGAGATCAGAAGCAGGAAGGAGCCACTGGTCAGCATCCCCATACTTGAATCTCTGCTCCCCATGAGCTGACCCAGGGTGCTTTCGCCCTTTTCTAACTCACTTCCTCCCTCCCATCACCTCCCGGTCTGCAAGAGGAGTAAAATTCCAGAGAATTTCCCAGATTCTTTGAGAAGACATCTTGCTCCAATTTTCTAGTTCTCCGCAGGTCTTCATTCTTTAAGGTCCTGTCAACCCGAATTGTCCTCCAGTAACTAAAATGTACCCCCCAAAATGGGATTATTTAAGACCTCACACTATAAATGTGCTTTTTCCCCAAAGGGAAAGCTCCAGGTTAGTACAATGAGCAGGAAACATTGAACTTCACCATTCTCTGTAGTCTATATTCCGAATGTGAGTGGCAAAATTCTTCACTTTCTTTCCTGGACCTTTGAGAGCAGAAAACCCAAAGGTGATCTGCACCTAAGAGTTCTGCTTTTTAAACTTGGAAATATCTTCCTGCTGTGGTTTTCTGTCCTGGTCTTGTGACTCTTAGCCCATAGACCGCCTCCATTCATCGCCCTCTCCTCCATCTCTTCTCTAGCCCCATTAAAATAGATAGCCCTAGGAAAAGAGGGGAACCTGGATTACCACCCTCCTGCTCAGGGTGTGTTCTTTGCGGTGACTCAGCCTGTGATTTATGGCTGTTCTAATCGTCTAGTGCCGTCTGCGGGGCGAGGTGGGTAGAAGGTGATGCCTGCCCCACCTCACTGGAATTACAGAGCGGTGCGCTTCCCTGCAGGACTGTTATGTGCGTTCTGGCACAGGCTGACTCATGTGTGAAGTTTAAAGGTGGGGCCCCTGCCGCAGACAGCCTTCCTTACCTGAGTCAGGCAGGCCTGGGCACTGAGCAGGAAGGGCAGGTATAAGAGGAAGAGGTAGAGATTTGTGCGCAGTGCAGCCAGCAGGACTCCCCGGACCAGGATGCCCCCCGCAGTGAGGCGGCCAGCCTGGAGCACCGGATGGCTGTGGATCTTTGGGGCAGCCCTCGGGCAGTGTCTGGGATATAATTCACAGCAACAAAGGGTAGCATTTCTTCAGCCTCCAGGTCAAAGTCATCTGCAAACAAGTTATGTGGAGTTTAGACCCAGCCAGGTAATGTCCCTTTTAAGTTTTGATTTGGGATGGGGAGGGGTTCCCAGCTTTATGACATTTTAAGTTAGGGTGATTAAGAAGTAAATGGGTGGGTTGGGGGAGGGGCTGGTGGCCTCCCCTGCATTGACAGGCAGTGTTTATTACAGTACCTGACAGATTGCTCTCCTGAGCTAAATTAACCACAAACTCCATAAACATCAGCCCACCTGGAAATGCCTGAGATAGTTAAGGGCTTGAATGCTGGTGGCTGTTAATGGACTATGAAACTTGGTGCCCTGGAGAAACTCCAGCCTCGGGACAAAAAGAATCTATTACCTATAGCTTTCCAAATTCTACCTTCAGGAAAATTTACCCACAAAGTAAAATGGGACAAAAAGCAAAATCCATGTCTAAGAAGACTAATCAAAGTTTGCATAATATCTAACAGGCATGCTTCGATTTGCCAGGCATGAGGCATACATAAACTCTGCTCTTTATTTAAACTTCCTGGATATTATGTACACCTACAGAAATAGATCCTATGGCTGCTAAAACAGCCTTGGAACCTGGGTAGGGGCGCGATCTTATCATTTACAACATAAAAGTTTACTGGAAAACCTATCTTGAAAAATCATCACTTTGTAAAGGTTAACTAGTTACCAAACCCCCTTATTTTTATTTAGAGCTAAGTGCCCAATACAATCTGAATGCTTGAATTAAATTTTATGTAGAATCTGAATTTGCTTGTTTTCTAGAGGGAGGATGTGATGACATTTCAGTAATGCTCCAAGAGTCATATGACATAAAACTCTTGCAGACTGTTTTTCTGCTTCTAATCAAAAGCAAATTAAGATGAGTGATTTAATTTTAATCAAGAGAGATTAGCCTTTCTCAAAGCATGTTTAATTAAGGCTTTTACTCAAGTACATTGATACAAACTAACCACATCTATTTGTTGATTTAAATAATTTGTTCTTTACCAAATACAATTATTTTTTAGGTAGGCAATGTGATGTGTCGTGATAACTGTAGATGCATGTTGTAGATAGGATCACGCCATCGATGGCTGAATTTTGTTCAGATGTATTTATCCGTTGTGCTCTCAGCAAAAGAACATTCCTTTCATACTTTGATTCTCCTTTAGACAAGTCTGTTCATATAGCATACAAAGAAATCTAACTTTTTTCCAATGTGTTCTTTTGCCTAAACATAGTTACCAATAGTTTAAAGGAACATCATATTGGAAATTCTGACTTGTTGTGTATGATGGATCAGTCGTCATTGGTAATGTGGGGAGGTACTCTAGGCAGCAACAGTGGGGTTCCACCCTGGGGAGCGTCCATGGGGTGACTTCTTCTTCTCCTCCATTTATCCAGGCAGAGACTTTCATGGTTACAGATGAAAGATCCATTTCAAGATTTGTGTTGATCATGACTTCAGAATTTGATGGACATAAGTGCTGTTTAAAGAAAATTAGATGAAAGACGCCCCTTTATTTTAAAATATTAATTTTTTTTCACCGATGCTTTAAAGATAGGGCATATAGGAGACCAGCGTTACAAACTAGGGGCAATGTCTGACTTTGTGATTAGCTCTGCTAAAATTAAAAGAATGTCTGTAATCCTCTTTAAAGACAGACATTTAAGTGATTTCTGACTGAAGGGATGAAAAGGGAAATGAAGTCTTCCCAGTTAGAACTGGCATGTGCCCTGGATAGCAACTGTCCTCTTTCTTCATATTGATTAAACACTTTGTTTGAAAAACAGGGTTGTAGCCCTGGATACTATCAGGATAACAAAGGCTCACTTACCAGATGGTGTATTCCCTGCAATTGCAACCAGGATCATTGCTTTTTTTTTTTTTTTTTAATTTATTGGAGGCTTTCTTAACTAGAATCAGTTCATGAAAAACTATAATTATTTTTATTTAGGTGAAAAATAACAACTGGTATTATTACTCAGGAAGGAGACCATATACTGGAGATAGAAATAATCAAAGCAATATTGAACAAACCCAAGGAGACTCTCTCAGGCTGGGTCTTAGTGTGTTCACCATGGACCAAATATTGGTGAATAGTCCTGTATGAGAATTCAAGCACCTCGCCTCCCCTGGGGTTCCCTGCTGTCCACAGATGAATAGGAGGCAGTGAGGTGATTCCAATAATTTGGCCATTATTGTGCAAACCCCATTGAAGACTCTACCCCACCTCAATCTTCCTCCTTCTTTGTTGCTCCTTCCATCAACCCAAACCCATGATTTGAGAGGGCTCAGCTACTCTTAGCTTTCGTCCCCAGAAGAACCCAGAAGAACCACAGTCCTGATCCCCTTTACCCATCCATGCCTCCACCCATCCTTAAAACAGACAGGAAGTGGCTCTCTGGAGGCTGAGGCAGGAGGATCACAAGTTCAAAGCCAGCGTCAGCAAAAGCAAGGCACTAAGCAAATCAGTGAGACCCTGTCTCTAAATAAGATACAAAATAGGGCTGGGGATGTGGCTCAGCGTTTGAGTGCCCTTGAGTTCAATCCCAGTACCCCAAAAACCAAACAGGAAGCAGGAGAAGAGGGACCCCACTTCCACCCCTTCCCTCTCTCTGAGTTCCCTGCCATGCATCTCACACACCCACTGTGGCATGGAAAAAGAACATGACCTGACCAAAAAAAAAAGCAGGAGGACCAGGCTAGTGGTTGAAATTAGAAATGCACACACTGACTAAAGGAAAGAAAAGGGAAATGAAGTCTTCTCAGTTAAAATTGTCATGTGCTTTGGATAGTAATTGTTCTCTTTCTTTGTATTGATTAAACACTTTTTTTTTTTTTTTTTTTGAAAAATAGGGTTGTAGCCCTGGATACTATCGGGATAACAAAGGCTCGCTTACCGGACGATGTGTTCCCTGCAATTGCAACGGACATTCAAATCGATGCCAGGATGGCTCCGGCATATGTATTGTGAGTAAATTGATAGTCTGATGCTATCTGCAGGCAATCTGTTTCTCCTCTTTCCCTCCTACGGTGCCCTGAGACATCAGCGTCATCTCTTACCACACCCTAAATAGAGGTTGCTATGACCATGTAGGAGGCTCCAGCGCCGTCAGGCTGAGTTATGTATATTTCATTTTACTTTTTCCTTCATCTTAACATGCAGTATCAGAAGAGAACAGCTGTCTGAATGGTTCCATTACACCTTGGTTTCTACATCTCTGCCTCATTAAATTATATTAGAAGGCGGACCTGGGGACTTAGCTCTTGCCAGCATATAATGTCAGAGCTGTGTTACCTTGAGCCCCAGTTCTGTTGGGGAGGAAGGAGGTTGCAAGAGGAGGGCTGGCTAGTGTCAGGTGGGCAGTAACTCAAGAAAGCACTCAGGGGAGAAGGAAATGCTGAGGAACGCTTATGGCTCACTCTCAATCAGTCAAAGAAACCCTCCACCATTGCCAAGACAAAGTGGGCTTATGGGAACGGTGGGTAAGTGCAGGGTGTGGGAAAGTACCATCTCACTTCCCTTTCCCCTCAGCCTCCTCAGGGCCTGCATTTGACTTCTTTTCTCAAGGCTCCAGATTCTCTTGATTATCCACTGAAAATGAACTTCTTTCGGAATGTTTTATAAAATCCTCCTACATAAAATTAATTTCGTAGGAATTTTTTTTTTCCTTTTTCACCCTAAAGCTGAATCTTCTTTATTCTGCTTCCTTCCTCCCTTTGATCAAAGCTCTGCTGCCCAGTAGCCAGGACCTTCCCCATCAAGGGAAGGATAGAACATCCTTACTCCAGGAATACAGAGGGCCCCAGTTGTGCTGTATATTTGAGGGCTCCCCTCTGCTGCCATGGACTTCCTTTAATTCAACTACTGTGTGTTTCCACTGCTCAGAGTTCCTAGACTATATTGAGCCAGCTCAGCACGTCCCAGGGAGCTGCTTCCTCTGCAAGATGGGACAGGCCAGAACAGGAAAGTGTTGAGAAGGGCTGCCTGATAGAATATTGTGTTGGATTGTAACCTTATAAGTTCAAAAAGAAGAAAAGACACTGAAAAAGGTTGTTTTCCAGCTCCTAAGCCTTCCTTTATAACAGTTTATGTTGGATACTATAGGTTGTGTGTAACACAAGTGAATGCCTTAATTAAAAATAAATATTTATCTTATCACCGAACCATTGCAAGATGTCAAGTCCACATTATAAAAGTTGCCAAAGAATAAAGAGTTTTCTCTACAGTCGATTTGCCCCATGAAAGGAGAACCTATAAGAATCATAATTCATATTCTAATCAAATAAGATTTTTTTCTCCATTTCCTATCTTTGTTACCCTGTCTTCACTTGTCTCCAATAACCACATGGCCCCTAAAGACTATTCATTCAGGAAATCCTTACTGAGTATTTGCTAATGTGATAGACACTGAGCCAAATGCCAGAGTTAAAAACCATCAGAGACAATCCCTACTCTCAAGAGGCTTGCTGTGTAGTGCGCATGTAGTACATATGCTATGCACATAAATGCATATGTGAACACACACATGCACACATGGAGCTCTTGTCTGCATTCAACGAACTGCTCAATGGCAAGTACTAAGTACTGATTCTACTCCAAAATATGCCTTTACAAGGAAAGCCAAGAATGCATCTTGCATTCTCAAAGGCACAGTGATGCAGAGACCAAGGACCTTTCAATATTAAAAGGTCTTTCAGGCTGATTCTGCTGCAAATTGACCTTGGTCTCTCAAGGTTCAAAATAAATCTCTAAAATCAGGGATAATTCACACATAAGTTTGCAGGACTGATCAAGACAGCTTCCAGGGAATCCAACATCAACTCTTAGCATGGGGATTTGAAACATTCTTATGGGAATTCATTAAGTAGCATGGCTCTGACCCCCTTCCAGGAACCTCTTTTCCTCACCCCTGGGGAGGATCAGCAGTCAGAGTGTTTTGAGCAGAATATAGATGCCCTCAAGTGCAATACTTGTTTCTCCAGTGTTTTCTGTCTTAGAGCTAAGTAGGCATAGGACTAAACTACATCTATCCAGGCATGTTCTTTAACATTGTGATGTGCATTAAAAAGAAAGAAAAACTAGAGTTGAAATGTAAATAATTAGCTCAAAATTATGTTTCATGAGTGGGTCAGGACAGCTGAGCAAAAAAAAAAAAAAAGGCAAAGGCAATCATTTATGTCCTCATTTGACACTGGGACAGTGCTTCTCTATGGAGTTGGGTGGATTTGCTTCCAATGGAAAGAAGAAACTGCAGTGAGATTTGGGGAAGGAAGGAAGGATTCCAGATAGGGTGAGCTTTCTGGTGATGATCACATGGGAACATGTGAATAGCATCCTATTTTCTAAAACACTAATCTCCTGTGTTTATAGCACAGTTCTACATCTAGAACAACAACAACAAAAAAAAACTAACATTCTTTTGTTTGTTTCAAAAGACATAATAATTGTACATACTTATGGGGAGCAATGTGATATTTGATACATGCATTCAACATGGAAAGCCCAAATCAGGTAATTAGCATATCAAACACCTCAAACATTTATCATTTTCTTGTGTTAGGAATATTCAAAATCCTCTCTCCTAGCTGTTTTGAAATATACCATAAAGGATCGTTGACTGGGTCATCCTTCAGGCTTGTGGAAAACACTAGAACTTGTTCCTCCTATCTAACAGTTTTGTATAATTCTCATTTACTCAAAGGTTCACAAAGGGTGGATTTGCTAAGTCTGGACAAAACGATGACATTCAGGATTGCAGGGCAGTCTTTCTTTCTCATTGCAAACAAGTTCAGTCCTCTCATGATATGTGTGTATTTTGGTTTTCCCAGCTGAGCTTCAGATATTATTTAAAAACCCACACCTATTACAGTTTCCTGCTCAAGTGCTACCTCTGCATGTAGACATAGAGAGGTGAAATATACATAAGAAAAAATTTTAAATTATACTCATCCAGATCATTTAATTAATACAAAAAAAGTCTGAATTGCCTAATTTCCAGGGCAAGGGGAATTTTCCTGTATGTTTTTGTGCATTTAGATCTTTATTATTAGGGCAAAGCCAACAAAAGTTACACTGGATTAAAAATTCCACAAAACAAATTCCACACAATCCATTAGGGTTTAGGTCAATAGTTCACTTGCAAAATTCTATCACAACACTATACAGAAGATCAACTTATTACACATTAACCTTGACATGAGGTTAATTGAATTTGCATTATGTAAGTAAAATGCTTAGAAATAATTTCTTGCTTCTTTGGGACTTGAGTGCTTCCTCCAAATCCTATGCAACTTTTTTTTTTTATTATTTTCACAAATTCCAGGTGTTAAAAACATTTAAATTTTATTGCTCTTCAATGTATCAATGTTAAGTGAATTTGAAATAAAATGAAGTTAATCTTCATAGAAGCAAATTTTTAAAAAATTTTCTTTCTTCCTTTTGTGGTGCTTGGGATTGGACCTAGGGCCTCATGCATACTAGGCAAACACCCTACACTAAGCTGCATACCTAGCTTCACAGGAGCAATCTAAAGGGAAAAGGGATGAAAATCTACATTTCCCCAGGGTCAAACACTTTTTTTTTTTAATTCTCCCAACAGCTTTGGAAATTGGCATTATTCTAACTATACATTTTAAGCGAATTAAAATTGTATTTAGTGACACATCAGGGAATTGATTTAAAAAAAAAAAAGAACAGTAAAGTGTAGAGAAATGAAGGAAATTACCGGAGCAGGATTTGAAACTAGCTGGTCTCTCTCCACTACATCATGCCTCCAAATAACTTATAGAAGTCATCTGTACCTTTTTGTGTGTGTGGCACCAACAGTGATTAGATAGGAAGAACACTCGGTTAGCAGAACTGATATCACTGTAGAGTCAGAGGACTTAAGTTATAATTATGTAAGATTATAATGACCTCAAAACTAATAAATGTAATAGGCTGCTCTTCATTGTCCTGTTCATCTGTCCCAAGAACTGTCAGCATAACACGGCTGGAGATCACTGTGAACGCTGCAAGGAGGGTCACTATGGGAACGCTGTCCATGGATCCTGTAGGGTCTGCCCGTGTCCTCATACCAACAGGTACTGTAGAAGCTTGGAATTAACCTTAGTGACAGGAAGTGGTCTAGTGGTTGCCTGGAACTGGGGGTGAGGAGGAGAGATGGGAGGAAAGGAAAGAGACTGCTGTGGTTTCTTTTGGGGGCGATAAAATATCCTTAGCTTAACTGTGGTGATGGTTCTACAATTCTATAACTGTCCCAGGCCACTGAATTGTGCAACTCACATGGGCGAATTGTATGGTATGTAAATGTTCACTCTGCTTTGTTCTCTATGCATTTGATAGCCCTTTGGCCTGACCTTTTTCTCAATAAAGCTGTTATATTTAAAAAATGAACACATTCAACAAGCAAGTGAAATAAAAACCAAGGGAGGGAATCGCTAAGGAAGCCTCGAGTTATTGAGCAGGTACTGGAATGATGGGATGAAGTAAGCAAAGTAGTATCTTAGCCATGAGGTCCCCAGGGGAAGCCCCTAGGAAGCTGTGCTTATAGACAGGAGGAGGAGAAATGCAGTGCAAGAAGAATGTATCCAATCAGGCCCTTTGGCCCATCACACTATACGCCAATCACTGAACTGACAAGTTTTGCAAAAGAAATAGTTTATTCATGAGGCGGTCAAGTGCAGAGACAGAAGAGCAAGTCTTAAATTCATCTTCCTAAGAGTAGAATTTAGGAATATTTATAGGATAAAGAAGAAGGGTGATTTACAGCAGGGGGAAAGGTGATTGAGGTGAGGGAAAGCAAAGTAATCAGTGGTCTGTATGTGCATAATCAATCTCCGAAGTTCTTCAGAGGACACATGTTCAGAAAATGGCAGTGTTAGCCTGATCTGAGGGTAGAGTATTTTGGTCCCTTGACGTCAGAGAAGACATTCAAAGAGGACACTTGCACGGGTCCCAGTAAAGAGTTGGCGGTTTCAACAAAAGCAGCCTTCCAGTCCCTGGCAAGTAACCTAGGCAACCATTATCATCAAGATCCACCCATCAGAGGCGTTATCTATAGCAGAGCTAGTGGGAGACTAATAATATATTGCTCAGCTGCGTGACCTCCAGATGAGTGGTTTTAAAAGTGAGCTGAAAGGAATTAACTAAAAGTAAGTGGAGCTGGAGGGTTTAATTAGGTTTCCTCTCAGTTCCAAGAGCGCTGGATATGAGGCTGGAGGGTCAGCTGGGTCTCAGGTCCTGTTGAACCTGGCAGGCTCCAGCCAACATCTAGGTTTTATCATTAGTGTGATAGAAGACTTGGGACAGTTCTGACCCCCTGAGTGAGGATCTGAGTGTCATTCAGGAGGCCGACAATCTATGTAGGTAGAGACACCATTTTCTTTTTATGGTTATCCATGTTCTGCTTGGGTTTGGCACTTGGTCATCTTCTTGCTCCTCCTGTGTTCACCCTGGGGTCCAAGCAAAGAAGAACATAACAGACAAGGAAGCAAAGCAAAAGTCAGTTTGAAAATCAAGAAACTGGTAAAGTAACCCAGAGTCCACAGGCTCAGAAATAAGAAGGAGCCATAAAGTGGATTGATATCAGACAAATTGGCCAAGACTTCACATCTCTAGAAGTCACGTGGCCAAGTGTGTATTTCTGGAGATCTATTTTTCTTTGCAATGTTCACTCCGCTTTGCTATCTATGTATTTGATACCTTTTCAGCCTGCCCAGTCCTGCAGGTTTATTTGTACAGGGATCTGTCACTACGCTTGCCCAGACTTGCTTGAACAGAAGCTGGCAGGAGTATAAAGTGGCAAGCTTGCACCAGCTGTTTGGGGAAACCTTTTCATTTTTGGTTGCAAAGCATGTTTTTCCCATAAAGGTCAGCTTCTTTCTCTGTCGGAGTTGGAGTAACATGTAGTTCCTTGGGTTTATCAGTAAAGCTATGTTTTCATGGAATTCTCCTTCTGGCAACAGCAATACTGTTTAAAAACTCTGAACTGTCCCTGTAGAGGTGTCTGAGTCCATCTAATGGGACAACAGAGGCTTCCCAACTATGAATTCTCTTATCAGCAAATGATAAGCAAAGCAATTTCCCCCCCAGATTTATGTCAGTGTAATGTTCAATGAATAGCATAGATAGTTTGCAATTTTTAATTTTTAAAAAAATTTCAAGTTTTTTGGTACTGAGGATTGAACCCAGGGGCTACGTAACCACTGAGCCACATTCCCAACCCTTTTTGTATTTTTTTAAATTTTGAAATAGGAACTTGCTAAATTGCTTAGGGTTCACTAAATTGCCGAGAGGCTGGCTTTGAATTTGTGATCTTCATGCCTCAGTCTCACTGGGATTACAGGTATACGGACACTGCACCCAGCTGACAATCACAATTTTACATGATCTCTTTGGGGACAGGGGGCTTCTTTTCAAATATATATCAGTTTAGAGCTAAAATAAGAAGAATCCAAATTTTATGGCTTAATTTGAAAGTTGCCAATAACTGAACCCACAAAAATACCAAGTAGGGTTGAGCTGGCTCTGTGCTCCTCTCTGGGCAGCCCCCCACCCCGGGGCCTGACTTCCCCCCTGCCACCTCCTCCCTAGCCATGTGCTAAATACAAAATAAACTAGAATAAGCAAGGAGCATTTTTCAAAAAAGAATAGAACTCTTCTTCTTTTTTTTTTTCCCCCTGCCTAGACTTGTTGCATTGCTTCCTTGTTATTCCTGGAAAAAATGTTGTTGCAATCATCTCTTCCAGAGTGAGTTACTCTGTTTTGTCCCAAGAGAAAGAATGCACTTCTCCAACCAAAAAAAAAAATGGATGCCTTTCAGTTTATCCCCTGCAGTTTGTCCAGTGTTAGCTGACATAATTCATCCTGAGCGCCACCAGTCTAGAGGGGCAAAGCTTTCTTCAAGGGAAATTTTTGTTCATGCAGTGGGTTTCAGTGTTCACTTGATACAGTCTGCCCTTTGTGGTAAAAGAGAATTCAGCACGAAGCCCGAGGGATCATGTTTTCACGGTGGCCTGTCTCTTTCTTCCTCTGAAGTTTTGCCACTGGCTGTGTCGTGAGCGGGGCCAACGTGAGGTGCGCCTGCAAACCCGGCTACGCAGGAGCACAGTGCGAGAGGTGGGTGTCCCTCTCCTTGCCCCCCCTTTCCCAGCCACCTGCAGATGGGGACCTGGCAGCTGGCCAGTGTGTGCTGCTGGCACAGAACAGGGATGCGGGCTGGGCTTGGGGCAACAGCGTGGCTGTTCCTTTTCCAAGGGCTGGAAACAAGTTCTCTTGGGGAAGACACGAGACTGTTCCTGTAATCAGTCATTGATGCTCCTCCCTTCTTGCTTTGTACACGGTTCAGAAATCTGAGAATGAGGCACAACAGGTACACATACCCACAAGTAGCCCTATGGGGCCCCAAGGCATGGCCTGTGTACCCCAACTCCCACACTCATCCCTCATGCCCCTCCCTCCCCCACCTCTAATACTCCCCCCACATGTACCCCTACATACAGCTACCTCTCCCACAAATATCTCTACATACCCTTTCTCTCCTAACCCCTAGGGTCCTCCTGTTTCTGGACGTGACCTGACACATTCTATCCCACTCCATATCCCTACTTGCTCCTCCCCCGTACATCTTATATTTCCCTCCAAACCTTACATACTCCTAACCCCATAAACATATTCCTGCATATTCCTACCCCCTCACATGTGCACATCTCTACACACCCCCATCTTCATATCCTTACTTACCTGTACACAGATATAACTTTATATATTCATGCATACAAACATATCTCCACAACCCTAGATATCCCTAGATATACACACACACACACACACACACACACACACACACACACATACACACACCCTATTCTCACACTATATTTTGAACACTCTGAGAACAGACTGTCACTTGTTCAGTTTTGAATCCCTGGTTCCTAACATGGTACTGGTCACATAATAGGTGTTCAAATAATGCCTATGAAACAAGAGAATAAAGGCAAGGAAGGGAAAAGTGTAAACTGAATCCTGAAGGGCAGTAGAGCTACACTGGTTATTCATTAACTGATGTTCATGATTAGCTTCTATACATCAGGCACTGCATGGGTCAACATGTAAGACAAAAATTTCCCAGGGTTCAAATAACCTTAAATATCCTACTATCCTGTCTCTCAATAAGCCAAGGGCCTTGTTGCATCAAATATGGGTAGGGTTTGGTTACTCTCCAGAACTATTTTCAGTGTGAGATGTTCATGCTAGGACAGGCACAAGGAACTAGACCAGCTGGGGGAGTGGCAGGTGCCCATCCTGTCTCCAGAAATGTGTTCATTGCCTGAAATAGGCACCAGACCTTCCCACCACTTTTCCTTCTCTCATGCTCACGCTGTCCAATCCTCCTACTCTCTTTTACCAAGTTCTTTCAGTTGAATTCATGAAACCTAATGCGTATGTGGAAAATTTCCATAAGGCACATGGATTTATTTCTGTACTCTGGTTCTCGTGCCCTATCATTGCTGTATTATTGTTCCTGAAAGTATAAAATGCCTTTGAATATTCGGTTGAGTAAGGTTCCCCTGTAACTTTCATCTAAATTTTATTCCTTGGTCATTCTGGCTTATTAGTTTTCTAGCTAAGGTTGGGAAGAGTTGGAACAAATTAAAAAATAAAATGCAAGGAAATTAATTCGACCAGATTTCAGAGTAGGGCATAGCCACTGTAGACTGGGGTTGTTGGAAATGTTTTGTGAACAGGGTGGGACTTGGGTAAACCTAAGGGATGACTGGAACCACTGGAGCACAAAATAGAGGCAGGAAGTTGGAGAAGTGCAAGAAAGCCCAAGAAGAAGAAGATCTCTGCTTCATGTGGAAGGTGGGCCTGCCTGATCATGGAGTCACTGAGTAACAGCTCAGGACACCATTCTGTAGTAATTCGAGTGTCTGTAGCTAAGTGTCTTTCATTTTCTATTTTCCATTTCATCCAAAGGAACCTTTCTCACATTGGCCTTAAATTCATTCATTCTTTCAATGTCAACATGTATGGAGCTCCTAGAATCTGCTGAGCACCATGTTAAACCCTAGAGACACATTAGCAAACAGAGCGTGGACCCCCCAGGGCTCTAAGGCCACGGGTGGACAGACATGAAAATAAGCACAAGGTCACTGGGCCAAGTTGGATTGCAATTGAAGGGGCATCCAACCAACCCTGATGGGTGAGGAAGGAAGGGGGCAGCTATAAGGATACATACCGGAAGGATGGATGGGTTGGGGTCTGGGCAGGTATTCTGGGCCCCATGATTTAAAAGCTATAAGCTCACACCTAGGAGAGGCTTTCTAATTTAATCCTCCTTATGGTTCTCCACAAACAGAGAAACAGAAAACAGCAACTTTCTTGATGAGGCATCTATTTATTTGGCAGGCAGCTGATGTGAAGAGAAATTTTTAATTAACAGTTCTCCTCTCGGCTTAAGTTTGTTACCTTGAATGTCTCCAGAAAGCAAGCTGTTGTTTCTTAAAAATTTTAAGAACTTTTTCACAGGTAAATGCCAGGTTGATGTCAACATTTTTCGATTGTTAAACATTGATTGGGTTTCCAGGCATCGTGACTGGCACTAGTCATTAAGTATGAAATGACAAACAAGAGGACAATAGAGGGAGAATATACCACAGACAGGAGCCTCTGTGGGTGGAGGAGGAGCAGCCTGCCCGGAGCCGCTGTGGAAAAGGTTTTCTAGCTCCCCGCCGTGCACATCTGCCTCTCTTCCCTTGGCCACATAGAGCCTTGGATTATAAATATGTCCTTGGCACTTTATTTACTGTACCCAAGTCATCAGTGAAATCAGGAACTTTCACTTTAATCCATTATGTTTAGCCATAAAAAAGAGAACCAACAATATTTCTTACAATCAGTTGCTAATGCTCTGAAGAAATAAGGAAAAAGTGGAATCAAACTTCCTGAATATTTATATGATTTTAATATAAGATGCTTTGTGCTTTTGTGTCTATTACATGGAAAGTTTAGATATAAGTAGGGCAAAGTATTTTAGAACATAGATGTCCTGCATAACATGGTTTGTTTGGCAAAATATGTAAAAAAAAATAAAGCCCTTTTATTAGTATTTTACCATCCTGCTTAGTAGACTCAGACAAGCCACCTCAGCCTAGCTGTCTTCTTGATAATTAGGGAATATGGGAGTTTTCTGATTCCTGTCTACTTTCTGACACCAAATAATTCAGATGGCACCAATTATAAAATGAATATTACATTATGTCTTATAATCTTAGCTACCTTTTATTGTGTCTGTTGTGTGCATTATACTAGCTTCTTTACTACATTTTTTCTTACATCTATTTACCGAAGTAGGTATTATAAGTCTAATCATTTGTTCAATAAATATTTATTTGACTTCTAATATCTGCCAGGCACTACCCCAAGTACTAGGAATTTATGAGTGGGCAAAACAGCCTAAAACAAACAAACAAATCAACAAAACATACACCATGTCTTCATGGAGTTTATGTTTTCCTGGGGATAATTGATGAAAAAACTGAAGCTCAAAGAATTATGGCAACAGCACAAGATCACAGTAGTAAGTGGTGGGGGCAGAGTCCAGCCGGATCTTCCTCACCCAAAACCCATGCGCTTTGCATTTAAACTGTAGGTGTATTCATTGGTAAAGGACATTGAAATTGCCTAACAATTTTTAATGCAAAGCTTAAATTTTGTGGAAAGAGTTACCATATTTCTTTGATTCTAACAATTCCAATGACAATAAGACACTATATATCAATTTGGGTATGACAGGGTGGGAAGTGGAATTTTGCTAAATGGAAATATTTTAATTGACATCTCAGTGCCAGAAACATTAACATGTATTTGTTTTACTTTTTTTAAAAATAGACTCTAAGAATGAAGGACTTATGATCTTTAAACTTGCACTTATCACTAAATTATCTAGACTAATAATGGTTCAAGATCAGAAGCAGCAGCAATAATTGCTCTCAGTGGCTTGAGCTCTTTATATACCCCACTGCAGCAATTGGTGCAAGTATGAATTATGCAGCCTTGAAATAATACATTAGAAAATAAGAAGAAAGTCTTCCTTTGCAGAAGTTTGAAATTTATGAGTCTTACTTTAAAATTGTTGCTAGGAAGAAATTAGTTTTTAGTTAAGCAATATTTAATTGTGTGTTATCTTTAGGAATATAACTCTTCCATAAAATTCAGTCATCCCTGATTTACATATTGATCAACCCATTTGCTTCAGTGTACATTCTGCTCATCTGCCATTAGGCTATCTGGATATTTGGGGATTTGGTAGTTCTGGGAGCAAGAAAGGAGGGAAGGAGCAATCGCTCAACAGCCTCATTCAAGGGATAAATCTCCCTATACTGAGAAACATTCATTTATTCTTGCAAATCTATGTCACCATTCCTTCTGTAGGACTACAGTATCCCAAACAGAGAGTTAGATATAAGAAAATTAGGTGGGATAAATGATGGGTTGTTGAAGTGTTTCTCATTCTTTCTCTATTTTCTGTAGATGTGCACCAGGATATTTTGGGAATCCCCAGAAGTTTGGAGGTAACTGCCGACCATGCAATTGTAACAGCAATGGCCAGTTACATTCTTGTGACCCCCTAACTGGAGGTAAGATTAGTGCACATCTCTGCTAATCTGCATTTGTAAAATTGATATAAAATAAAAATGTAAGGACCCAAGCACAAATTTTTAGAACGTATAATACACAATTCCAGCTAACAAATTATACCCTTGTTTCAATAACCTGGCAATTATACCTGGGAATGCTTAAGTATCTTTTATAGGTTTATTGAGTAACTTACTTCTATTAGGGTTTTTAAGAGTAAATTATCTTTAAAACCCAAGCAATTATGGATAAAAATCACTTTGGACTCTGGCAATTTGCTGAGCTCTCTCTTTGACACTGTAGGGTTGTCTTAAACATTAGGCTTCTTTGTGTGGATCTGAAGTCATCAAAATACTCTTTCTCTTATAGCTACATATATTCTGGGATGTGTTCAGGCAACTGGGGTAGATTCTACACACCAAGGAAAAGAGTTCATGGGAGTTAGTATGAATTCATTAGGAGCAACACAGAACAAAAAGGAAGAGTTATTCACTTCCTTCTTTTAAAAATATTAATATGATTTATTAGGAAAATACCATTGGTGTAGTGTAAGACCACTTATACAAAATCTCTCATCTTTTAGTTGTGGGTAAGTTGAAGAACTAAGCCCTGGATGTGTGGGTTAGGTCTAATCAAGTAACCATAACCAAAGGAATGCAGAGGAAATGGATTCATGCCAGTCTTGAATAGGGTATTTATTGCCATGTCTCAGTACTTCATTTTTTACTCCATCTTGCTGAACATTTTTTACTTGTATGGAAATCTAGCAGGCATGTCTACCCAGTTACCAGATGACATGAAGTGGTAAAGATAGAAAATGCCTCTATGATATTTTTAGAATACAAAAGGACCATGTTAATTTAATACAAAAATTAAATTTCTAGCTTTAATTTTTGATGTAGTGAAATTAGATTATTTTTCAGAGGGAAGTGAGAGAGCATTTCATATATGAATTCATGGCATGGGAAAAAGAGTAGAAGTGAAGGGTGAAGAAGGTCCAAGGATGATCACAGGGCTTTCCTCAAATGCAGTTAAGAACCTCAAACAAAGCTCAGCTCATATGTGCAGTCATTGGCAGTGTGACCCAATAACATTGTGTGCTTATCTCTGTCAAACTGTTTTGTCATTTGCCAATCCCAAGGGACCATTAGGCCACAGGACAGCAGGGATTTTTGTCCTGATGGCTCTATATTTCCTGTACCACAGTACATAGCAAATGTTCAAAGATGCTCAGTGAATGTACAATATGCTTGAATGATTTTAGAAGAAGTGTCAACATGTAGGGAACTATCCACTGAAGAAAGCCTTAACACTAACAATTAGGAATTTTAATCCAATAAGAAAGGCATGGTCCTCTATAGAGGTGGCCCTTTGTAGACAAGAAATGGAATTATAGTATAATCAAGGAGGCGACCAAAGAAATTCTTGCACAGCCCTGCTGGGAGATGAAATTGCTCCATGAGCAATGGTGTGGGTGAGGGTGGGAAAAGGAAGGGCCAGTGATGTTGTGTGGTTGGATGGCTAAAATCTTCTCCAACTAACTTTTCTGAAAACCAAGTTAAAAAGCAGGTGGAAGAGTAAGTTTAATGGTAATGATTTCTTTTTCTCTTTTCCTGATTTCAGACTGCCTCAACCAAGAACCCAAAGATAGTGGCCCTGCAGAAGAATGTGATGGTGAGGAAAGAAAGCCCTTCCCTTCCCAGGTTGTGGGGTTTAAGATATGAGCCCCATGCTGGGACACAGGGTTTCAAAATGGGGAAAGCAGACCCTGGGAGGAGATGGAGAAGGACAATAGAAGGTCAAATCCAGCTTTTGTCAACCACTCACTGATGACCTTCAGCAAGCCACCTTACTTCTCCTGGCCTTGGTTTCATTACTTGTAGAATGGACACGACTAGACCTACTTCATATAGCTATTGGGGGAAATGCTTATAAATCCCTTATCACAATATTTATGGCATGGGGAAAAGCGTAGAAGTAGATAACCTTCTTAAGAAATAAATAACCTCAATAGTCTCATATCAATTTTTAAAAATTAAATGAAAACTATACGTTATTACATATAAATGAAACTCCATAAATGAAAACTATATGTTATTATTTTTTCCACATTCCAAAGAATCAACATGTTGCATAGACTCACCATTTTTGTTTAAAATGTTCAGGTGTATAGGGCTCAGCTGATTTTGGGATCTATATCCCTCCCTGAGAAGGCCAGGGTTGTGACTTCTGCCTGTGATGACTGTGATGACCTATGTGCTTGTGGGTCCAGCCCTTACATTCTCTTTGCCTTCCCTTGGCTCTAGCCCCAGCACTTTTACCTTTGATTATGGTCCCTGCAGATTGTGACAGCTGTGTTATGACGCTCCTGAATGACCTGGCCACCATGGGTGAGGAGCTCCGTCTGGCCAAGTCTCAGCTACAAGGCCTGAGTGCCAGTGCCAGCACCCTGGAGCAGATTCGGCTCGTGGAGACCCAAGCCAAGGACCTGAGGGTAAATCCCCTGGGGGACCTAGAGTACATACTCTGTGAATATAGCTGGATCTCTAGTAGCCACAGGAATTGGATACTAAAATTTGCAGATGCTCAAATCTTTGATGTAAAGTGGCATCATATTTGCTTATAACCTACACACAACTCCCTGTATATTTTAAATCATCTCTAGATTGCTTATAATACCTAATACCCTGTAAAAGCCATGTAAATTGCTGCTATACTATATTGTGTAAGGAAAAATGGCAGGAAAAAAATGTCTGTACTTGTTCAGCACATACAGTTTTTTAAAAACATATTTTTGATACGTGATTGAATCTGCAGGTGAGAACCTGCAGATGCGGAGAGCTGACTGCAGAGGAGGCCTGGATGAATATCCTCGGGCAGGAAAGGGGGAGGGATTGACTCCAGTTTAAGAATCAAAGGGCTCCTGTCTTCCTCTGATTCTATGAAGATTACAGTTTTCACCTGGGAAAGTGCTTGTGAACACACGAGCCTAACACTTCTAAGTGTACACTCTTTACTTAACTGAATTTTCATGGTGATTTTTTTCTCACAGAGCCTTTTAACTCAAGTGTGTTTCATTCAAAAGACTTAGACACAGGGCTGTAAAATAAGCATAATTCTTCTTTAAATGTTTTATAGAATTTTCCAAAAAAGCCATGTGAGTCTAACGTTTGCTTTGTTGGAAGTTTAAAAAAAAAACATAATTTTAATTTTTAAAAATAGATAAGAGACTATTGAGTTTATCTATTTCTTCTTAAACAATATTTGGTAATCTAAGTCTTTCAAATAATGTGCCTTTTTATCTAAATGAAGAAATATAGTTACATAAAATTGTTCATAATATTCTTTTACTATTCTTTAAATGGTGCAAAATCTCTAGCACTGACCTTTCATTTTTCCTGATATTTGATAATTTGTGTCTTATCTCTTTCTCTGAATTATTTTGGCTACAGGTTTATCAGCTTTATTGATTTTTCTATTTTATTGGTTTTCTCCACTGTTTTTCTGTTTTCAATTTCATTATTTTCTGTTCTTATCCGTATCGTTTCCCTTTTTCTTGCTGGCTTTGGTGTATTTTGCTATTCATTTTCTATTTTCCTAGTTGAAAGCTTATTTTACTGATTCAAAACTTTAAAAAAAATTTTTTTTTGGTAGTTGTAGATGGATAGAATGCCTTTATTTTATTTGTTCATTTTTATGCGGTGCTGAGGATCAAATCCAGTGCCTCATGCATGCTAGACAAGCGCTCTACTACTGAGCTATATCATAATTTTATTTAACTGAAAACACAAATATTTGAGACTATAAACTCTTGCCCTCAGTGTTGCTTTTGCTGTGTTTCACAGATTTTGAAATGTTGTGTTTTCATTCTTGTTCAATTCAAAAGATTTTCTAATTTCCCTTGTGACATAGCTGTAACCCAGGAGTGTGTTGTTTAACTTGCAAATTGGAAAATTCTCCAGAGAACTTTCTATTATTAATTTCTAATTAACTCTGTTGTGGTCAGAGAGCAGACTACATATGATTTCAATTATTTTAAATATGCTGAGGTTTGATTCTTAGCTCTGAAGATCATATTCAGATCTTTGTGCACTTGGAAAGAAGGGGGCTGGAAGAGTATCCTTAGAAATAATGGGGCCTAAAGTGCCCCACAGAGTCAGAGTCAGGTTCTCTGAGCGAACCTGTAGCCTACTCTGTCCATGAATGAAGAATGAAAGAACACCACCATAAAACAGCCCAGAGCTTGTTGTTGGGCAATGACTATAAGAATGAAGGAAAGCTATAGGAATCACAACATTTTGGTCAGACCAGACAAATCCACAAAGTTGGGTCTATGCTGGAATGACATCCTCAGTGTCACCATAGTGCCCAAGTCCTGAATTCCAACATAAGACGTGGTCCTGGACTAGGGGATCCAACATGGGGATGGTGATAACTATAAGATCACTAGACAGGATGTGGGGAATGCAGAGAGAGGGGCAACTCCCCATGAACCTGTGACCATTTCAAACAACCCTATTAACAACAGAAAAATGCACAACTGAAGCAATAGTCAAGAGTTGAATGAAGTATGTACCAAGGAAAATAATAGGATAACCAGAAAATTACTTTGAGGAATAGTATCCAATGCAAGGAACAAGAAATTAGGAAATTTGAGGGGGTGGGTAACCACCAGAAATGAAACAAGGAGAGGTAGAGATAAATACATCCCATTGAAATTCATGGAAATAGAAAAAAATACTCATTGAAGTAAAATAATGCAGTAGATGAAATAAACCCAAGACTAGACACACTGAAATAGGCTTTGGGGAAAGTTTAATAAATGCTTTTAGAGTAAGGGCTGATTGTAGTGGCTATAGCAGAGTATATATAGCAAGAAGTAATTCTAGAAAAATGGCTCTTTTCATCCCTTCAGGGTAATTTTAGTCCATGGTTTATAGGCTTAATATAGTAGAGAAAGAAAAAAAATAGCCTTTATGTTATGAGAAAAACAGAAGAAGCTACACGAATTGCTTTGATTTCCTTAATACAGCCCTGCACTGCTTCAACTTTCTGTATGCCAACTATGTGCCAGGTTCTATGCTAGGTGCTTTGCTCAAGTCTTACAATATCCCTATTGGGGAAATAGTACTAGTTTCATTTAACTGACACAGAGAAGCTAAATAACTTGCCTAAAACCATATATCTAGAACACAGAGGTTCTAGAAGAAACCAGAAGGAGACCAAATTCTAATGACTGCTCTTGACCCACTGACCTCTTATCCGGGTATTCTACCAACATTTATGCAGTCATGTCACTTTTCCCATTATAAAATTAAAATAGAACTATCTTCTTGCCACGCCACATAAACTCTGTGACAATTCAGTAAGAGTATGAACTAACATTTTTGAATGCTCATATGTACATTACATATTAGAATATATTAACTCACTTGTCACCATAACCCACCCTGAAGTTTCATATCACATTTCACAATTTGCTGATGAAAGGGATTAAGCTTGATGGGGCTCATCTACTAAGCGGGTAGACTGAGGGTTTGGATGGATTATGCTTAAGAATGGGTTCTTTTACCCAACACTGGCTCCAAATACAAATGGAGGCAATATGATCATTGTTTTCTTGTCAATTTTTTCAAGATACTACTTCCCCCTCCCAAACTGAAAAGAATCACTACTCTTTTCTGTGCAGAAATGTTACCTTTAAAAGTAATGAGGCAATTTTGTACTATGTCAAGGATGAGAGACCGGCCTTTGTAGCCTGAAGCAATCATGGTCAGCTATACAGCCGTGGACAAGTCACCCAACTTCCTTAGCTTCAATTTTCTCCTTTATCATTTTAAAATATTCAACTGCGTGAGCTCTGGAATTCCCCTACAGCTCTGATATATTGGAGTCTTTGAATCTAATGAGTCTTTCAATAAAGTAGCCATATGCATTACCTTTAGTACTATAAGGTTAAGCATAGATTTTTTTTTAACACTGCATATAAATCTGAAAATCAATACATCAGAGAAGCAGTATTACTCTGATTTCTATAAGATCAGGTCATTCATTCAACCAAAGTGTCTGTTGTCTCCATGTTTTTAAATTTGCTTCTGCTTGGATCTTAAATGTCCCTCAAAGGCCTCTATGTTGAAGGCTTGTTCCCTGGAATAGTGTTCTTGGGAGGCAATAGAAACTTTAAGAGATGGTCTAGTGAGAGGTCTTCTTGACCCTAGGGGCTTGCCCTGGAAGGGGACAGTGGGACCCTCAGCTCCATTCTCTTCCTTTCTCACTTCCTGGTAGCCAGGAGGAGAAAAGTTTTGTGTCACCCAGTGCTTCTACTGTGATGCACTGAGTCACCACAGGCCTAAAGCAAAGGGGCTGGAAACCTCTAAAATTGTGAGACAAGATGAACACTTTACTCTTTGTAAGTTGATTATCTCAGGTATTTGTAAGACTGATGGGGAGCTAACTGGGAAAGCTACTTTATTTCAGAGCCATGTCACAATTGACATCAGAAGATGGAATTTTTTTTTCATGGAATCTGTTTCAAAGAACCACATTATTTTTCTTTAGAACTGCCATTGTTCTTATTCAATGAGTGTCTTCATTACCACGTTCACCAGGTCGATAGGATGTAGCCTCAATTTCTACTCCAAAGTGAGATTAGCTTGGTGTGTTGCTTTCAGAATCAGTTGCTCAACTATCGTTCTACTGTTTCAAATCATGGATCAAAAATGGATGCCCTGGAAAAAGAGCTGAGTAACTTGAATCCTGAATTCGAAACTTTGCAAGAAAAGGTAATGTATGCAGTAGATCAATTACCCTAGTCCTTTTTTCCCCTTCCTAGATATCTTCATTTTTTTTTCTTTCCCTATCAATTCAATTTGTGGCTAACCAATTTATTTTTCATATAGGCTCGAATAAATTCCAGGAAAGCACAAACATTATATAACAATGTTGATCGGACGATCCAAAGTGCAGAAGACCTGAACACAAAGATTAAAAATGTCATCCGGAATGTGCACAGTAAGAAAAATCACTTGACTCAATTCTTGTTTGTTTTTTTACATAATCTTTGCTATTCACTGAAAGAATTTTCTTTGGCGAGTTCAACATTATGAAAAAGTCCTATGGTGGCATGAAAGAAAAAAAAACTAATATGAAACCTCCACGAAAGCTTCTGCCTTTTTAAAAAAGAAGCAGTCTACTGGAGCCCAGAATTCCCAGTTTAATAAACTCCTCGATATTTTCCAGTTCTCCTCAAGCAGATCTCTGGGACAGGTGGAGATGGAAACCACTTGCCTTTGGGCGACTTCTCCAGAGAGTTGGCAGAAGCCCATCGCATGATGAGGGAACTGCGGGACCGAAACTTTGCAAAGCACCTGAGAGAGGCAGAAGCTGAAAAAAGAGCCGCCCAGCTCTGTAAGGACCTGCCCCAATTCTTGCATCCCCTGTCCATTCTAACTGGCTTGAAATACAAAGTGCAAAATAGAGATTGGATAGAGCTACTGGTTATAGGTGGAAGGTCTCATTTCAGTGAGTGTGACTGTAAGAGTATCTATTACATGATGGAATTAGGGGCACACACACTCCAACCTGGAAGAGTGTTTTAGTCAGCTTTTATGACACTGTGACCAAAAGACCTGGCAAGAACAATTTTAGAGGATGAAAGGGGCTCATTATTTCAGAGATCTCAGTCCAGAGAGGGCCAGCTCCGTTGCTCTGGGCCCAAGTGAGGTAAAACATCATGGCAGATGATAGAGGAAGGCATGTCACCAAGAAGCAAAGGGAGATGGACAAAATGTATACCCCAAAGGCATACCCACAAAGACCCACATCCTCCAGTCACACCCTACCTGCCTTCAATCACCACTTAGTTAATCCCTAATGGAGGATTAATGCACTAATTAGGTTAAGGCTCTCATAACCGAGTCCTTTCACATCTAAGTTTTCTTGCATTGTTCATAATGAGCTTTTGGGGAACACCTCATATCTAAACCATAACAGAGACCAAGAGACTTTTCTTCAAGTCACTATGAATCTATACATATTACCATGGTATAGAAAAAAAAAGTGCTTCTAGAAGTTAGATATTCAGACCTCCTTTTTCCTTTTAACTGCATATTCATTCTTTTAATGTTTCTGTACCTCTTTCCAATTTTCTCATTGTATCATTTTTGATATTGAATTGTTGAGTCACAAATCCATATTAGCTGTTATATCAAAAAGCAATTACTGTTATATCGAAATCAATAGAAAAGGACAGCCTTGAAATTAACTGAATGTTATCTAACAGTTTTGCCTAGAGAAAATGCCTCAAAACTAAGCTGTTAACTTGGCACATATATTTTTTTTTCAAGTAAGGATATTTATTCTTTATTAAAGTGAGGCATCTGTGGTTAATATGCAGACAGTAGCAGTTTTCTTGTAGCAAGGATATTGTTCAAACGCAATCTTAGTCTTGGCTTTTAACTGATAAGGTGGCAGTTTTAACAGTGAAAGAAGTGTGCACTTTATACTCTGCCACTTTGGTTCAAGTCCTAAGTCTGATTGGTTTTGTAACCATGGGTTGACCCCCTAACTTCTAGAGGCTCCATTTCCTTATCAATAACAGGAGAACAATATTATTATTTTCATGTGTTATCATAGAAGCTAAAAGATGCAATGCATGCAATGTATGCAGGAGGCGTCATAAATGTCAGTTTCCTTTCCCCTTCCCTCCAAAGTTCAAGGAGACTCACAAAATGAACAGGAGTTCAGTTCTCCTTCTGCAGTCTTTATAACCTAGCTTCAGTATGCTCTTCTCTCAAGTGGGAAACATAAAGTGATGTATTACAGTGTTGGACCAGAAAAGGCAGCAAGCCCTGAAGCTGGAGAACAATGGACTTATAAAGAACATACAGAATTCTTTAAGTGATTATGAAGCCAAACTCCATGACCTGCGTGCTGTGCTACAGGAGGCAGCCGCCCAGACAAAGCAGGCCACTGATCTCAACCAAGACAATGAGCGAGCTTTGGGAACCTTTAAGGTGAGCTCACAGTTGGAACGTGCAGGCTTTCATCATGGTCAAGACAAGGGAGCAGGATATTTGTATTAAACAAGTGGCATGGCCAGGGCCCTGGCTGCTTATATCACCTCAGACCCTGCCTGGTCAAGTGGGAATTAGGCATTGAATTCTAGACAGGGAAGAGGGGTGGGAGGGCAAAGGAGGGGACAGGAGATTCGCAAGGTCGGTGGAATGTGATGGACATCACCATCCAAAGTACATGTATAAAGACTCGAATTGGGTTGTCAATATACTTTATATATTATAAACAGAGATATGAAAACAGAGATCTGTGGTATGTATGTGTAATAAGAATTGTAATGCAAAATTTAAAAAAACGAAGTACATGTATAAAGGCATGAATTGGCTTGAACATACTCTATATGCAAAGATATGAAAAATTATACTCTCTATGTGTAATAAGAATTGAAATGTATTCCACTGTCGTGTATTCCAAAAAATAAAATCAATAAAACTAAAAACAAATAAATAAATACAAAACCAGTCAATTCCACTCCTCAGCTACCAGAAAAGATTCTGGACTTCAGTCGCAGGCTAAGCCTTTCAAACTGCCTCAACCCTTCCCCTGGCTGAAAGAGTGTTGGAGGAATAATGATGCCAAGAAGATGATAAATTAATCATGTTAGAGTTAATGAAGTATACTTTGTTTCCAATGACATGATTTGTCAGATAAGTAAGCATCATAATCTCCAGCAAAGGCATTTAAGTTATTCCAAGCTTCATAGGATACAAGTTAAGAACAGGCTGCAAACAGAAGCTACAGTGACAGAATTTAGAGATCAAGAATTCATACCTTGCATTTTTAATAGTGAGCCTTATACAACAAACAACAACCAAAATGTAGGATCAGAGTCAAATTACATCAGACTGACCCCCAAAGTGATGTCTTGTGCATGGCCTCAAGCTCAGCTCCCACTGCTTCCCCTCCTCTGTCTGAATCCCTGACTGTGCCTGGCAGGGAGCAGACTCCAGCTTCATGGCTGTTTGACCTTGGGCCACCTTTTGGCCTGGCCTGCTCAGGTCCTGTATCATCTCTCATTCAACTACCTGTTACATTTTCGCTGGGATTGGCAGACAGTGTGCTGGTTAGTCCTTGATTTATTGAGTTAAAATCTCTCATTCTGTTCCCCAAATTTAGAACTTAGTAATATTTTCACCTCACTGGTCAAGTTGACCCAGGGTAGAAATCTTTGACAGTGTTAGCACTTGTTTCCTTAGCAGCTAGTGGGAGGAAACTATGGCAACAAGATGACACTGAGGAGAGAACCCATGTCCCATCACTTTGTAGTTGCACAGACCAACCTCAGGTTCAAGAAAACATTCTGATTCTGAATTGCTTATATGCTGCTGTCCAATAAATCCATCTGTGCTTTCTGATGATGTGTCTTGGAGTTCAAGCAGATGTTCTTTTTATCCTCTCCAGAATCAAGTAAAAGAAATTGATTTGCTGAAGAGTGATTTCACAAAGCTCCTGTCTACTGCAGACTCTTCCTTGCTTCAGACCAACACTGTACTACAGCAGATGGACAAAAAACAGAAGGTAGAGGAGACTGCTAATTCTCTAGAAAAAAATCTAGAAACATTTAAGTTATATTATCGGGGGACTGATCTATTTTTTTTTCTTGAACATGTGTCTGTTAGGTGGAAGCAAATAGCCCCCAAAGTTATCAGTGTTCCTCCTTTGGGCCAGGGGTACAAATGATGTGTCTTATCAAAGTCCATCTGTTTTACCTAATTTGTCTGCAAGGAGCAAGTCACTTTTATGATAAAAACAATAACAACAACAATTTGAAATGCTGTTTCTTAAATATCAAGCATATCTTTATTAATAGAATGCATTTAAGACTTGATAAAAGATTGACAAAATTTCTTAGCAGCCTAATGGGCATTTTGAAAGTGTCATTTATAACAACTATTTCCATGTCATAAAATCCTTTGGTTTCATACAACTTTACCTTGATGATGACATTGTACTTTTATAAACTTACTAAAGAGGTTGCCCACTAAAAATAAAATGCTCGAGATGATGGTAAGACATGGAGGGATATTGTCAATACTCCTATCTGAAGTAACCAAGGATTAATTGGTACGCTAAATGGGCTTAGAAAATATAATTTCACATGGGAAACATCATTTGTGACAGAGTTTGAGAAAATGGTATATATGGCCTTTGCTTGAATTTATACTGTCTTTATTTACTTGGAAAAAATAGGAATATGAAAAATTAGTTTCTACTTTAAATGCAAGAAGACAGGAACTAAGTGACAAAGTGAGAGAACTCTCCAGATCAGCGAGCAAGACATCCCTGGTAGTGCAGGCAGAAAAGCATGCACAGTCTTTACAAGAACTGGCCAAGCAGCTGGAAGAGTAAGTGGATGGAGAGATCCAAACCCTAGGGGCTGGTTAAGTGCCAAGTGAGGCCCTTCATGAGCTAGTGAGGGGCCCAGAATATGACAGAAAGTGGGGTCCTGACTGAGGTCCCATCCAGGACCCACAGCCCAGGTCAGAACCAGACCCACAATGAAGAGTGGATTCCCAACCATGACCTGGGGGTGGAGCTGCAGAGGCCACCACATCTGGTGTCCACTTGCCTAAAGAAATGGGAAGACTGGAGGGGCATGGCAGCCCTAACATCAAACCTGTTAGAGAACCTAACCTGCTCCACCTTTTTGCAGGATCAAAAGAAATGCCAGTGGGGATGAGCTGGTACGCCGTGCTGTGGATGCTGCCACCGCCTACGAGAACATCCTCAATGCCATCAATGCAGCAGAGGATGCTGCAAACAAGGCCACCAGTGCCTCTGAGTCAGCCCTCCAGGTGGGCATCTGTGCCAGTAGCTTGTGTAGATTTGACCTGGAGGCAATACGTTTTCTTATTCTCATTCTCTGTGTGTGGAGGGATATTGAAAAGAATTATTGCAAATCAGAACTTTTATATAGAATACACTTAAACTCACTCTATGCGTGGGCCATTTCTCTATTTATTTGACAATTTGATCTCTGTAGTGCAGTTTAAGACTATTTGTAAATCCAGATAGAAATTACAACCATTATTGACTGTGAATGTAAACAAGTAGTATATTCTGCTTGCCAGGTATACTTTTATCCTGTGATTAAATATTAGCATTTGCCAAAAAGAGACTTTTGTAAACAATTTGACCACTGTTTTCTACCAGTGATTTGGTTTTACATCTGGATATGTCTGTGGAGTTTTGTGAGATCTAACCTGTATCATATAATATTCCTATATCAGAAAAAAACAAAGAACAAAAATATTAAATATCAGAGTCAGAAGAACAGGCCTTCATGGCAAGTTAAAGATTTAGGTTTCAAAATGTGAAAGCCTGAATTAAATTCTCCCTTTGATTATTAGAAGGGGTACAAGTGACAGCAGGCAACTGTCCCACCATCTGCCAGTAGTCACTGAAGATGGGTCCATCTGCCTGAGCCCTGGTTGTCTACCTAGAACCAAACCATCTCTTTTTAGGGAATAGTATACTTCTAGGCCCCTTCTCCTCTTCAGATTTTACCTTTTAAAGATTAAAGATCTTGAAGACTATGGTGAAACTCTTCCTTCATATTTCCTAAGGTGTAGCGTATGGTTAAGACTGATAAATGCTTTGCTTGCAGACAGTGATAAAGGAAAATCTTCCCGGAAAAGCTAAGACCCTGAGTTCTGACAGTGATAAGCTGCTGCACAAAGCCAAGTTAACACAGAAAGAGCTGCAGCAAGGTATTGGGGGCCTGGGGGTGGCAGGGATAGTCAGGGGTTTAAGATGACCTTTGGGACCAGGAGAGGCAGCCCTGGAAACAAATGTTCTTTTCTGAATTTCAGTGTCAACACAGAAGATACCGAATTTGTGATTTATTTTTCAATATCATGTATTCAACCCCCAAACTCTAAATATCCCCCATCCATCATCTATGAAATTGACTACAGTCTATTAATCATAAAAAAGTCTTGTGGTGATAGACCCTGAGTGGAGACTCTTAATTTAAGCAATTTTGTGACCATGGCATTGGGAACCCACATTCCAGATCATTCATGCCAGGTCATTGATGCAATTGTTTTCAAATTTCTTTCTTT